CCCGCGGAACTTCGGCGCAAAGTTTGCGCGTCCCGGCGGCCGCGGGGGCTCCTCCGGGAGGGGGGGAGCGGCTGCGGGGGTTGGGGGGGGGGGAGGCAAATGGGCCTCGGGGGAGGCCGAGGCGGTGCCGGCCAATAAAGCTGATTATTATTGCCGTTATTAATAAGGCCGCGATCGCCGCGCGAGGCACTGCCGCCGCCGCCCCGGCACATTTGCGCCTCTGCCCCGTTCCCACGCGGCCCCCAGAGCACAGAGATGCTGGTTTGGGGGAAAGTCCGTGTTGTGACGAGGAGGGGCCGGCGAGGAGTGGGAGGAAGGCAGGGCGAGGAATTTTAGGTGTCTGCACTTCTTCTTCTTCTTTTTTTTTTTTTTTAAGTGCTACTTTTGTTTCGCGTCGCGATTTTCTCCCCTCCTTCAATCCCTTAAAGTGCTGACGTGGGGGGGAATTTACGTTTAGCAAAGCAAGAAAAAGAGGGACCACAAAGGCTCTTTGGACTGTTGCTGGGAAGGTACGACCCGTCCAGGGGGTTCCATCGCCTTTTTTTCCCTTCTTTTTTTGTGTGTGTGCACCTTTAGGCCGAGGACTCCGCAAAGAAAAAGAAGGATGTCCAAGCAAACATCTGACTTTTAAGAGGACTCACTCTGGGTTGGACAGCCAAGGTTTTCTAGGTGATGGATAAAGTCTTATCCCAAGGATTACGGTGTTTCCAGCCATTGTTCTGGCTGCAGCCTTCAGATCCCAGATGGGAGGGTTTCGACCAGGGAACACCATTATTGCGATTTTATTATTTTTCTTCCCCCCCCCCTCCTCATCTGGCTTTTTATGAACTGCTCCAACATAAATCTTCTGCTACAAGACAGCTCCTATTTTGGAACCCCGGCGTTGAAATCCCAGGGAAGGAAAGAGGAAAAACAGTAGTGGACTATTTAAAGACTTCTCCGCAGCTGAAGTGCTCTCTAGATTTCTGAATATGGATCTCCACTGACTTATTTAGAGCACTTGGGCAACCAGAAGTACCTCGGATTCTGCAAGGAACTCCTCTGAAGTGCAAAATTTTGTTTTAACCTTAACCAGCTGAAAAAAATCCCCGTTCAGGAGGTCCTTGCACGTTTATATGTTGAGCTCCTGTAAGTAGTTATTTTAGGCTCCCAGCGTATTGCCTTTTTTTTTTTTTTTTGCTTTGGTTGCAGCTTATTTTTCTTTAAACTGTAACTCCCTCGCACTCGTCACGAAATCAGCAGCAAATGTTGCAATCTGACTGGATTTCCCTTCAAAGGGAGTACAGGAAATATCTTCCATCTAAAACACTCCCTCAAAGTTTACGGCCATAAATCACGGAGTTTAAAGACAAGCCGGTAGCAAAAGGAAAATACTCAGCTGAAATCCAGGGCAGCTTTTGCTTATCCTGGGGTTTGGTGGAGGGGAGGGAAAAGAAAAAAAAAATGAAAAAAAAAGGAAAAGAAAAGGTCACGTTGTGGGAGTTTAGAGAAGGAAAGGCTTCCAAGGCTGGTGCGGAGGGAGAGACAGGCAGAGGCAGGGACCAGGTGGGAGACTCAGCAAAACTCACCAGTTCTCGGACGGCCGGTCCAGCGAACTCGAGGCAGCGGCGGATTTTGAGGAAGGAGAAGGACTGAGGGGGGGAAAAGGGAAAAACAAACAAACAAACAAAGAGAAACAACAAAAAAAAGTATGAAACTTCGGTCAGAAAAGCGTGAACAAGGGGAGTCATCCTCGAGAGAGACCCTGGGGTGGAAGTGGGGACAAGACGGGCTCTCCCGAACAAAAGCCCCGGCGTTTCCTCTGAGATTATCGCCCACCCCAGCAAGCAGCGCATTTCCAGGGACTGGGGGGCTCTCCATCCCCCGAGAACATTTCCAGGGGTTCGGGGACTCTCCATCCCCCGAGAACATTTCCAGGGATTGGGGGACTCTCCATCCCCCGAGAACATTTCCAGGGGTTGGGGGACTCTCCATCCCCCGATAGCATTTCCAGGGACTGGGGGGCTCTCCATCCCCCGGGACTGGGGGGCTCTCCATGCCCCTATAACATTTCCAGGGCTTGGGGGGCTCTTCATCCCCCGAGAACATTTCCAGGGCTTGGGGGACTCTCCATCCCCCGAGAACATTCCCAGGGGTTGGGGGACTCTCCATCCCCCGAGAACATTCCCAGGGGTTGGGGGACTCTCCATTCCCCGAGAACATTTCCAGGGGTTGGGGGGCTCTCCATCCCCCAATAACCCACCGGACCCATCGTGCCCGGGGGGCACCGGGTTATTCCGGGAGATTTGGTGCCATCCCTCCCCCCTCCGGTGTTTCCTTCCACCTTCCCTCCGTGGAACCCCCCCGGGGACAGGGAAGCGCTTCCCCCGTCCTGGGGGTCGCGTTAGGGGTGCAAACACTTGTCCACTTTCTCCCCGGCCGGGGGTGAACTCTGACCACAATTTAAAAAAAACACGAGCGTCCCGAAGGCTTTTGGTTGAATTCTGCCCGTCGTTTCGGAGTTAAAGGCGTTTAAGAGATTAAATACGCGCAGTTAATTAGTTTGAGGCTACCAACAATAAAACAGTAAGGGAAAAATACGAGGCCGTTTTCCTGAAAGGCGGAAAATCCTCAAGGATTCCGAATATGTTTCTCTTTTTTTTTTTTTGAGTTTCCACAGCGTGCTCGGAGGATCTCCACGAAAGGGGGGGGGGAGGACGGGGATGCTTTATGGTGTTGGAGGACGCCATCCACACAGCAGCGATTCGGCACCACAATTAACGGGTTCGAGCCGTAAACATTTTTAAAGCCACGCCGAGATTTATCGCCGCAACTTTGGCGCGGAGGAGCCGGGGAAGGGAGAAGGGGAAAGGAGGAAGAAAAAAGCAATCTCATTTAAAAATATTTTCGTTCGGGGAAACATTCGGTCGCTTTAATAATCCTGTTTCCGTTCTGTATGTTGATGTTATTAATCTCAAATAAAAATGTTCCCCTCGCACCCCTGCTCCTGCTTGCGACAACATCCCCGAGTCCATAAATCACCCGCGGATGCTTCGTGACCTTCTCTAGTCGGCGGCCTGTAGCTGTATTTTTTATTAGTATTATTATTACACCCGCTTTAATACCCGGCTTTGGCAATATTCCACTTACGGCCCCGCCCGCCCCGCTTCACTGGGGCTTCTCAGTCCCCTCTGCTGAGCGCACGCAGAGCTTTGTGAAGAGAAGGGGGGCAAAAAAAAACCGAAGGAAAGGAAAGAAAAGCGCCTTTTCTGCCCTGCGAGCTCAGCAAACCCAAACCGAGCCTGGGCAAGTTCCTCCCACGCCGGGCCCGGGGAGGAAGAGGAGGAAAGTGGGCAAAGCCACGAGGAGGTGGAGAAAAGAGGGGGGAAAACGCGTTTATTTGGAGCGGAGGAGGGGAAAAGAGAAACAGGCAAACAGCTAAAAGGAGCCGGAATAAATAACGGCTCCAGCCAAGGGGTGGGGGGGTTGTTTTTCTTTGTTTTTAATTTCTTCCCCCGCTGTACGGGCAGAAGAGGGACGGAGCGAGGTTTCCCCCTCCCCGTGTTCTTTGTTTTGATTTGGGTTGGGTTTTCTTTTTTTTCCTCTATTAATTTTTCTCTCGGGGGCGGTTCCGCTCCTCCCGTGGGTCGAAGCCCCCCCGGGCCAGGGCGCAGCACCCACCGCCCCCTCCCGCGGGGCCGCTCCCCCTCCCGCGGCCCTTTTTGTGTCCGGAGGGAAGGAGTTTGGGTTTTCCCGTTCCACAGCCACAGAGCACGAGGGAGGGGAGAGCTGCGAGGAGGAGGAGGAGAGACTTATGGAGGGTCCGGGACCTCCTGAAACCCCAAACAGAAGCCGGCCGGGATAAGAAATCCAAATTAAACTGAGTGAGCGGTGGCTTTGCCTTGACAGATTAGACCTTTTTCTCCCCCTGACCTTTGCTTGGAAGAGCAATAACTCACCGGGTTAATGATCAATCAGCGGAAGCGCTTTGGAATTGTCTTAAAAAAAGAAACCAAAACACCCCAAAATAAAAACAGGGGCGGAAACACCCCCCGACGCCCCCCGGGCTGGGTCCCACCGACCCCCCCCTCCAGAACCCCTCTGCCGTGGGGCAGCCAAGAACCTCTCCTGGCCCCAGAGAGGGGTGAGCTGCGAATTTGGGGAGGGGGGGCTGATCGGAGGGGAGGGGGCGGCTCGGGGGCGGCAGCTCGCGGGGTCACCGCGCCCCGAGGAGTTATTTTGGGAGCAGCTCGCGGAGAGGGGCTGGGAATCACCGTCCCCACTTTTCTTCTCCTCCCCCCCCCTCCACCCACCCCTCCCTTCCAAACGCCAAAATAATCGCCTGAATTATGCGCTCACGTGACTGAGACACGTCAACCTTTCGCCCATTTTACAGAGAATTGGTAAATGAGCGACTCCCCCCTCCAATCCCGCTAATTCCCCCATCAGCAAATTCCCCAAACTTCCCGGGGAGCCGGGCAGGCGGTTCCCTTCTCTCCCTCCTGTCCCAGCCCTGGCCTTTGGGACCTTCTGGGCTGCTTCATCCTTTCTTCTTATTATTATTGTTTTTCCTTCTAGTTTTCTTTTCCTTTTTTATCTTTTAACCCGAAGGAGACACTGAGGAGGAAAGCGACTGCAGCGAGCGCCGCTCCCAAAGCCTCGGAGTCCGGCAAGAAGGCCAAGGAGACGGAAAAGGAGGGGGAAATGACGGGGTTTGGGGACAGGGAAAGCGGAGAGGGGCTGCTCTGCCTCCCCTGAAGACCCTGGGGACGGGCTCGGAGGAGGCGGTTCCTGCGCTCACATCCAGGCTCCCGTTTCTTCCCATTTGAACCCCCACCCTCCTCCTCCTCCTCCTCCTCCAAATGAAAAAAAAAAAATTAAAAAACGGAGAGAGAGGGGGAGAGGGAAAAAATGAGGATTCAAAGCTTTTCTCCCATCGCAATTCCTTCGCCCCCCACCCCGGGAGGACCAGGCACCCACGCGACCGCCGGGGCCGTTTCTGTGAGAAAAGGAAGGAATTCGGTTATTTTTATTTTTTTTTTTTGTGATACTCGCCTGAATCTGGGAGCCGGCTGGCGCTGGAGAACGAGCTGGGCATAGGGGAGAAGGGACCTGGGAGAAGAAACGAGTTCCATTTTACCTGCTTCCTCCTGATAAGCCAGAAAGACCAACAGTACCAGGGCTGGGAGCCTCGGGAGGGGGAGAAAGGAGTGTCAAGGAACGATATTTCTCTGGTTTGGGCGGTTTACACCGAATATTTCTCGCCTGTAGAGACCTGCGCGGACACCACCGAGAGCTGCATCCTCCCTGCACGGGGCATCTCTGCAAACACCCCCCCAAAGCACCCACGCGAGCCGCCGCCCTCGGCTAAAAACCCTCCCCGAGTCTGAGGGTGTTCACTCGGGCACCCTCCTCACCCTCCTCACCCTCAGCACCACATCAAAGGGCTCCCACCCACCCCGAGCTCTTCGTTAATTTTTAATTAGGCGGGGAAGGTTCGGGAGCGGCAGCGCGCGGGTGGAGGCGGGAGGATTTAAATCCTATTTCTATTTTTAACGCGAGGCCGTGGCCGTGTCGGGACACGCGTGGTTTGGACACAAATATCCCAAAAATACGCCCGCGGAACCCCTGGAGAGAGGGACAACCTACCTGGGGGGATAACCCGGAGAAACTCATCTATTTGGGGCTCATTTACACCCCGCGTCCCCCTAAAATAAGTCTCACCCAGGAGCTGAGCTTTCAAATCCCCACCTCCGCACCGGGAATCAGATTCCCCAGGCTGGAAATAAAAGTCGGGTTTTTTTAGGGAGGGTGGGAGAAACGCGAAGTGGAAGGGTGAAAAAAAAAACCCCAAACCCACCAACTCCCCCCTTAAATTCTCCTGTCCCAAAAGAGCAGAAGCGGCAGCGCCGCCACCACCACATAGATCTGCACGGTTAAAGATCAGAAAGTGTCCATTAATATCAATTTACTTCAATGAAAACTTTGGTTCTTCATGAAGTTGGTGATTTATGATAAAATCAATTAAATTACGGCCACTTAGGGCCTGCGGTTTCTTCTCGGGTTTCATTCGCCGACAGATCAAGCGCTCGGTAAAAAAAAAAAAAAAATAAATCTCAACTTTAGCTGGAGGCGAGCGAAGATAATTCTAAAGCCGAGGAAATGTAATGCAAAGCAATTTTCGGACGAAAAAAACCGAACACAAAGACGGAGAAAAAACCCAAAACATATAAAAAGGAGAGAAAACCCAAACAGACGCTCGTGTATCCGAGCTCCTGCTCTCTCTGCCAAGGGAAATATCAGACACTGAGTCCAAACTTTTCCACTTTCACAATGTCTGAGGACATTTTTAGATCTGGCAGCTCGTCCCGGGGACTGAGTTATTATCTCGCTCGAAAGGGAAAGGAGCCAGAGGAGAACAGAGAGCACAAATATACATATTTATATGTGTGTGTAGAGAAACTTTCCCGGGTTAATTCGATTTTTCCGACCTTTCCACCCCCCTCCCTACAGAAGATTTTCCTGTCTTGCTTTTAAAACGCGCGTCGGGCCTTCACGGCGGAGGGCGGAGGGCGGAGGGGGTTCGTTTTTTTTTTTCCCCGGAGCCAGAAATTATTAGCACAA